TGCCATGTGGCGCTCACAGTCAGCAGTCTGCGGTTACCCTAAGGAATTTCCCGCTGGGACGAAAATAAAACAAAAACAACAAGATCGAATAATGTAGTAAACGCAATACCACACCCCAGCCGTATAACGCAAACAGCATCGAAACTCGCATAAGGTCACGTAATAAAGAGCATATAGTTTTTATAACGAACACTCGAACAAGTTCAAATTTAGCTCCTCTGCTCCCTGTGGTTGAGTCTCATGATAATAATTGATTGAGCAGGTTCAAATTGCACGAGAATAAGTAAGAGTCGATGATCTAGTGCATGAGTTGGCAGCAAAATGAGAGCACAAGTTTGAAGTCTCCTCGTCAACTCTTGTTGATTATAGTTTTTGTTTGATCCCAGCTGTAAACAGATACCAAGTCCTCCTTAAATTTGGCAAGGTGCCCCAAAGATACAGTGAGCACGGAAATACATTTAATTTAACACACATAAACTCAAACTTGACATCAAATTCATACTTTTGAGCAGCAGCTTCGTCATCTTCATAAGAGTCCAGTAGCATTGGAGTCGCTGCTTCCATCAGGGTGACATGATCTGTTTGATGAGAAGTTGTCATGGCAACTGACTGTTCATCTGTTTCAGTTCCTGTATCGACAGGGGCAACACTTGTTACAAGAGAGGAGCGGTTTCCCTCTTCGTCTGACTGTTGTGGTATATCTTCAACATCTGAGGAAGCTGAAAGCAGTGGCTCCTCTGGGGTTTCTGCTAATGCTAAATATGTAAAACGTTTGTTTTAGCAGATTGAGCCTTCGTTCCTATAAATATATTCTTATCAATGCCCCCATCTTTCAAGAAACAAGAAACTACTCTTGAGAAATGACCAGAACTTTTAATAATAACCATTATGCCACTGTGTCTCGACCCACATCTCACTATTAAGGGACTGTGGCAATAATTACCAGGAGGGGGGGGGGGGCGGGGGGTTTGGAAAACCAGAGGGGGGGCGGCATAAAGTAAAATCAAAGCCAAGGAGAGGGGGGCTCTAGGAAAATAAGTCACTCAAGAGAGGGGGAGGCTTAACATTTTATTTCAAGTACATATTACATTGGCGAATCCATACCTATTTATAAGGTGGGGACTAGCCTTCACCGGAACTGAAAATAACACACATGCTCTTTTCCTTCTGCTATGGTTCTGTTCAACATTGCTACGGAGGTGAATGTTTGTTCCAGATGCGGATGTCCAACAATTAAACATGCAGTAGGAGCTCTTCTTTCTGTTATAAGATTTTAATCCACAGGTGCGTGTAGAGAAAATGTAGCGTACTTGTATAAAGGTGTGTGTATACTGCGAGGGAGAAGGGGGGGGGGGGGGGGTTGTACATAATTTCTGACTGATTAGAGGGGGGGGGGCAATAACTAAATTCACTCCTTTAGGAGGGGGGGTATTACCTAATATTTGGCCTACATGAAGCCCATTTTCCAAACCCCCCCCCCCCCTCCTGATAATTATTGCACAATCCCTAAGTGAAACTGGAATAAATTATTAAAATTATTACAGTTTCAATAAGTGAGATGTGGAAGACGCAGTGGCCTAATGGTCCGCATGTTGGATTACGGATTGAGCAGTCTGGGTTCGAGTGCTGGCAGGGTTGTTGTGTTGTGTTCTTGGGTGAAACACTTTACTCTCACAGTGCCTCTCTCCAGCGACAAAATGCTAGGGGGTAACCTGCGTTGGACTAGCGTCCCATCCAAAGGGAGTAGCAATATTCCTAGTTGGCTTCATGCTATGGAAACTGGGATAAGCGACGGTGCTGTGGGCAGTTTTATCACTGCCTGGAGCTATTAGGTCTGGGCTCAAGTGGAGGTCGCAACCAGGGTCACTGTGTTGTGTTCTTGGGCAAGGCATTTTACTCTTACTATGCCTCCTCCGCCTACATTATTAACGGCTGGCGCTACTAACGGCTACGGAAGTCAATTTCTCAAAAAATGAGACACTGCGCATGTCAGTCAGTTCTGTCCAGCCGTAGCGTGAAATTTGACTACCGGGACGTACTCTCCCCAGATCTCTTTGGTTACTGTAGCCGTAGTAGGGCCAGCCGTAGCGATTTGCTTAAACTCCCTAATGTTAGAGTGTAACTTGCAATGGACTAGTATCCCATCCAGGAGAGTCAGCAATACTCCTAGTCTCTTCATGCTAAAGAAACTGGAGTAAAGTGCCAGGAAAGTATTGTATTTTTTGCATAGTATTTTTGTTTTAATCTTCTTAAAATATTGTAATTAACATAGTATTTTTTAACCTTTTTAGCTTCTTAAATTTTAATGTAATTATGTATTTCTTTAGATGCAGGGCCCCTCTGGATACCAGCCTTAGAACTGAATGGACTACCCTATTTAAATAAAGATTTACTTTACTTTACTTTTACTTTACTTTAGCACCGAAGAGCCGTATGGCTCCTCTGCCAGAGTTTTAAATGTGAAGTAAGCAAGACTTAGTACCTTCTCGTAAAAAAAATTCTGAATGATGGTTCTGGGCGTATTATCTTCAGTTTGACTTGTTGATCTCAATTTTTATACTTGTATCTGGCTCAACTGTTTTTTGTCTCTTTCTTTTCACAAACACTCTTGGCAACTGGAGCTGTTTGTAGAAATCCTGCAATCTAACACCAAAACTAGCTTAAAAGTTTAAGCAAAAAACTTTAAATATGAGCTTAAACTTATTAAAGGGGAAGTAATCACAGGGATTTAGCGTCATTTCAAAAACTAAAAAAAGTTTTTGTATAAACAGCAACCTAAAAATAATGGTCAGTTTTGTTATAAATTACCACCGTAATGAAACTAAAACTGTAGATGAGTGTCTCTGGCCATAGATAGACTGGTCAAAATGGATTTCAACTTGAAAAAAATTGGGCTAATTTTTTTCAAGTTCTCGTATTTTCGTTTCCAAAATGCACCAGATTAGAACATGATTTGTTCCTCTGTCACGAATTCGGTTGATTCTTTCTCTTGGTGTTCTAGAATTATTTTGTAAATAAGTAAAAGGTATCGTAGCACTGTTTTGACCAAAAAAGGTCAAAATTCCTTGTGAATACTTCCCCTTTAAGGACTTATGTAGAAAAGAAAGTTAAAAGAAGAAGTTGATTTAATATCGATCAGGAATCCAGGGGGGGGGGGGGGGATGGGTGGGTACTTCCCTATATAAGATATACGGGTATGTCTGCTGTGAAGGGTATGGCTTTCAAGCAGTTTAGTCTGGGATAGGGTATACAAATTAGAGAGTTTTGGTCTAGAATAGGGCAATACATGTATCATTTACGAATTAATAGCAACTTTATATAAAAAAGAAAGAGTTTCTGGAAAATAGCGAGTCTGGGATAGGGAAGGGTTTTTGGCATCTAGTCTAGAATTGGGTTGAAAAATGCAGGTGAGCATGGTCTGGTAAATGTAAGGGTTTCTGAGACCCAGCGGCACACCCCCACCCAAACATTCACAGAGTCCCAGCCCCACTCCCCCCCCCCCCCCCCCCCCATCCCCCGGCATGAAATAACACTTAAAAGATTAATTATTTGGTCTTACCACACATTTGTTAAATAAGTTTAAGATTGGAGTTTGAATTTGAATACATCATGCAAAAGGCTGAAGCTTACCCAAAGTTCTAGGTGTTGGTTGAGTCTGAAGGTGTAACTTATAGAACTCGATGAAAACCTTTCTCTTGTTGGCAGATCTGACCGATTAAGTACAAACGAGTTGCTACTTCTGAGTGGGACGGAGGATTGGTCGGAGTTTTCTTCACAGTACTTGCTACTTTGGTGTTTTCCTCGCGTTCTCAAAGTCGGGCACTCTCGGCTGATGCTTCTCCTGCATGTCAACACACCACGGATTATTCCGCGAGGAGTTGCTTCATCGTCTTCCATCTTGTTAGACACAATATTTATTCAAAACCACACAAGTATATCTTTAGATCTTTCAACCATTGAGGTTCAAAATTGATTCAAAAATTAAAAACGGATACTTCTGTCTCTAAAACAGATTAAAAATGAACAGTTGTCTTGTAGAAGCTGGCATTTCCATGAAAAATGCCGTTTGGTTTTCCTGTGCAATTTTGTCGCTACATGATCCGCCATGTTTGTTTGTAGTTCGCGCCTTTCGATTCCCTGAAACATCATGGGATTGTCTGCAGGGCCTGGTTTACTGAGCACCAGTGCAAAAGTCATTCTGTCCTTGTGCTTCAGAAGTTTTCACTTCTTCACTGTTTTTAGTAATCCTCAGGAAAAATACTATAAACAAAACAAAACATGTCAGGGGGTTCATATGATATGAAGCCATCACCATATTTTCACCTGTATGGGCATCTTTTCCAAGTGGAATATGCACAAGAAGCCGTAAAAAAGGCTTCAACTCGACGGTACGTAAAATTTCCTTTATTAACTTTGGCTTTGATCTACGTTTTTTACGTACAAAACGTATTTGATAATTGTGGTTGATTTTGCCATGAATGAAAAGAGTGACGAAGTTTATTTTATAGGTTGGAGTTCGTGGTAAAGCATTGTCGTCCTCGCGGAGTGGAGAGAAGGCCGGGGCGGATCGCCAAACTTCAAGAACCGTAGAACCGTGCCCGAAAAATTTGCTCTATGGATGACCACTGTTGTCAGGCTTTTGCAGGTAAAGGAATATTTCTAGAAGGAGGCAAAAATGAACTTCACACGTAAGTTTTGTTTCATGATCTATGTCGTAGGTTTGACGGCGGGCCGCCAGAATTTTAGTGAAACAGAGCGCGGGTAGAGTGCCAAAGCCACAAGCTGACGGTACTGAAGATCCTGTGACGCTAAGACACTATCATTACAAGATATATTGCAACGGCTTAAAACAGGTACAAAATAGTAAATCTTTGTTGTTTTGGCACAAAAAATGTAGTTTATTTTGCGGCCAATTAGGCCTAAAAATTCGTGAGGTTATGTTGACATGTGATTAAGGCTATTCATATATTTAAATTCTTCACAGTTTTTATTGTCAAAATTCCCATATGGTCTAGCTGGTTTAGGGATCCGGCAGCTCTCACCGCCGTGGCCGGGTTCGATTCCCGGAGGTGGGAAAAGGCATTTTTTTTTTACTTCTTTTTTTTGTTGTTTTGTTTCACCTTCTCTATCCTTTGATATTTCAAGATTTATTACTCATTTCCTTTTTAGTAGGATTTTTTCCCTCAACAATAATTTATATTTTATTCATCATTGTTACTTTATTATCTGATTTTAGCCGATTACACCCAAAGCAATGGTCGGCGCGTCCTTTTGGTATTTCCACAACTTATTGTTAGGATTTGATGATGATGGTACACCACGTCTTTACCAGACTGATCCATCTGGTACATATCATTGCCTGGAAGGTAAAATTTTTGTAATTGCATTCCAATCAGCTGAAGAAAATATTGAAAGACAACATTGAAACATCCTAGCCTGCGTGCAGACGTCTGACCTTTCCTTGTGGAAGCAAGGAAAAGGAGATGTCTGCATGCAGGCTATGAACATCCTTGTCCCTGGGAAAGAATGTTAGCTACTTGGAAACAAATTTTACAAGCAAGGAACCAAAAAATTTGTGACACTTTTAATTAAAAAAAAAAAAAGGTCATTCCTTAGTATTGGCACTGCGCATCCTCTTCTGTGCATAAATTTTGCTGCGTAATTAGTGTGCGCACATTAAAAAATGGTGGCTTTTTTTCATTATGGTTATGCTCGCCAGAGAGGTAAATGATCGTTTTCTCGTAAACGAGCGTTGTGCTCTCAGTGCAGAAAAATTAATAATCACTGGAAACGTGAAAAAATATGTGTTTTTGGTTGATGTTGTAAGGAATTATGAGGTATTTTTTAGTCGATTAGTATCTCTTTCGCGGGGCTAGTGGCCTATTCTTTTTATTCTATATTTGAAAAATTACATCACAATGTTCAACTAGGGAAAGTTCACGCAAATTTCCTAGTGCAACTTTTATTTTGACAGAATTACCTTAATTCACAATATTTCATGCATGCAGACTATCCAATCGAGGAGAGCTATCCTCCGGGTGCTTCTGATTTGGATAGTCTGAACGCACAAAAGAATGTGAATTAATTAAAAAAAGTGGTCACACTTATGGCTTCCTTGATGGAATTATTGAGAGACAGAATTGGACCTTAACTGGTGCTGTTTCCCCAACTGAAGTGACGTGAAGTTTGAGTATCGAGGAAGTCAAGAGAATATAGTCCAATCAACAATAAATATTATTACAAATTTTCAAGTAAAACTATTGTGATAGTACAGTACGTGATTGCTTAAATTTTTATTTGATGTTTTTGTCTTCGCCAGGCTAATGCCATTGGCCGCAGTGCAAAAACTGTTTGTGAATTTTTAGTGAGAAAACACTACACAGATGAAGTAGCTGATTCTGACGATGAAACAATGAAAATAGCAATTAAAGCTTTACTGGAGGTAAGTACATGTCTGTATAATTTCAGTTTCTCTTTTGTATGTTAGATTTTTAGCACCGTAGAGCAATGAGAAGCAAACATGTAAAACGAACAAAGAAACTTAAAGAAAACGCTTGGGGATGGGGTAAATCCGGCATTTTTTTCGAGTGCGAAAGTCGGCGCGAGAAGAGAGACAAAAAAAGAGCGTGCTTTTTTGTATCTCTTCCGTCACCGCCTTTTGCACTCGAAAAAAACCATGCCTTGATCGCAGGTTAAAGATGGGGTTGTCTTTCAGCCGATTTGAATAATTGTGAAATGTTCTGAACATCTTTGGAAGTCTTACCTTCGAAAGTCATGAAAATCGCTAGACTGCAAAATAGTCTCTCTTTTTTCTCTCATTTTTTATCTCGAGGATTTAATGCTGAATGCTTGAATTATCAATCATCAAGGGGTGCAAATTGCCGATAAGCCACAATGCGAGCCTTACCAATCCCAACCTCGTTCCCAGGGTCTGGATCTGCCGTTTTCATAGATGGTGGCTGGCGACGCCATCTTGAAAGTCGAAGTAGACCCTCGGAAGAGGTTGCGTTGTATTCCAATCCCGACTCATAGTAATTACTACCTTGCCTCACTCGAGCCCCCATGTCGTCAGATCTCTTTTCCAGTCACTGTAAACTCGCGCTAAAATACGGACTGTTTTGCAGTCTAGAAAAAATCCCTGGATAAAATTTGACAGATTTTGGCCCCATGTCAATGAAATTTTGGTGAAGTAATGTTTTACTTAGGCCATCCCCATAAAATGTTTGTTTCCCATCGCCCTCTCTCTCGTGAACGTGGGTCGGGTTGTCGGTAAAAAAAGAAAAAAAGAAAAGCAAGAGAAGAGAAGAGAAACGAAATATTGACTAATAAATAATTTCAAGCGAGCCTTGATGATATCTTCCTCGTGACCACCATTTTGAAACGAGCCGATATCACTCTGAAAGGTGTTTGAAGACGTCATTCTTAGGCTGATTTCGATTTCAGAGTGACTTTAAGATGTAAACAAAGCATTTCAACAACCGAGAAAAAGGGAGAGAGTAAGGCGCAGGCATGAATCAGAATTTTTTTTTAAACTTTTTGAAAGAATTGGGTTGGTCGGGCGATGGGAAACCAAACATTTTTATGGGGATGGCCTTACAGGTTGATAGACCTTATTCATAAATGGCGGTGGATTAATTATTCTTTATATTCATGCTAATCAGCCTCCCTAGCCTCATTTTAGAGTAAAAATTATTTGAATTTTGCACATACTAACGAGGCTAGGGGGGCTTGTTAGCATGAATATAAAAGAATAATTAATCAGCCGCCATTTATGAATAAGGTCTATTAGACAAGTGCTTACTCTTGTAGACAGAAATCACAGGTGCTATTAAATTTATACTGTAAAGTGGCGAAAGAGAGTGAAAGCTTGAACCAGTGACTTATTATTTTAGGTGGTGCAATCAGGAGGAAAGAATATTGAACTTGCTGTTATGAAGAAAGGAGAAACTCTAAAGGTAAACGCACTTTTTGGACTGGAAATTTTATTTGGTGAAATCGTCTTAGTTACTGACAATAAAATAATGTGAGCGTTTTTACCGATGTTTGATGGCAAAAGAGGAATCATATTCCTTCAAAACGTACACCTCTGTACTCTCTATTTTGAAAAACTACTAAATGGTTCTATTGTTTAAGCAATAAATCAAACACAAGACAGTGTTTTATGCGATTTTTGAACACTGAGAAGAGAGTTGAATATTTGTCGGGCAGTAGAGTATTTTGAAGAAATTTGTGATGTTTGGAAATAGGATGAAACACTGTCTCGATCGCCCTACACAATTTTAAAGGTCGTGACTAGAATGGATAGACCAAAATCAGATCAGACGTTACCCTAACCCACAAAAGAAAGCTAACAATTCCCAGGGCTAATCAGTGCTATATAGGCCAACTGCGGTATCTAAAGTAGGCTGATCTTATTTTGGGCTATTCATTCAAGGCATAGCCCATTTTTAAACCAGGTTTGTGTAATTCTGACTTAAAATTAAATTCGATGTAATTTTTCTCTGCAGATATTACAGCCAGACGAGGTTGATAAATTTGTCGAAGCCATCGAGAAAGAAAGGAAGCAGAGGCCGAAAAGAAGAAGAAAGAAAAAGCCACAGGATCTGCTAAATAAAACTCAACAAAAGTTTATCATTTTTCTACTGATAGTCTTAAACTCTACCAACATCCGCCATGTGTTCGACATTTTTGCTCTTGACTACTGTAACCAATCAAAGTTTGAAGGAAGACACCACGTGGGATAAGCGACACGTGATGAAAAATAATGTTACCTGTCAATCAATCTAGATATCAAACATTCAAAGCTTAAAAAACACAAGTGATGGCCCGCATCTGGGTTTTGTCAAGAGTGTCATAGTGAAGGTACTTGCATTTCACGTTAGTTTGTAGGGACGACGTGACACGTAGTGTCCTCTCAACAGAAAAAGTAACACTTAACACAACAAATTTTAGGAGCGACTGTATCGGATTTTAGTATGTATAAGGCAGTTAACACCAAAAAGGTCATAATAAAAGCCTACCAAAGATGGTTTATGACTGGAGACCAAGGGGGGGCGCAGATAATGCGGAGGCGGGAGTATACTGCCGAGCAGTCGTCTATTTTATTTTTCGCTGAAAGTCGGTCGCGAGACGAACCGCGCGATTCTTACGAGTTGCGCAGCCGCAGCCACTCGTAAATCGCCGCGTTCGCCTTCGCGCGACTACTTTAGCGAAAAATAGATTCATCTAGCTCAGCAGGTTCTAGGTCAGGAGGAAGATAAAAGGGCGAAATAGGTGCACGTGAAAGTTTACTTGACGGGCGGCGTAGAGCAAATCTTTCGCTTCGGCACCGGATAGTCGCGCTCCCCTGGCTATCCGAGGACACGGATGTGTAAGTCGGGACGATCATATTCCGCTACTTTTTCTTTGTCCAGGGTGCTTACGTTATAATACATACACACTACTACGACAGATGATCTCTGTATCCAGTGTACACTAAATTTGTCTTTGAAGAATAACAATCTTCGCTGTGGACAGGTCACCGCCAATTTTGCGAAAGAGGTAATAGGATATTTCCCGCGGGAAATAAATTAGTTAACAATATACAATGACACTAGCCTGCGTGTAGGGACCGTCTCCTATCTTCCTTGCTTCACGCTAGTGAAGCAAGGCAAATAGGAGACGTGCAGTCTCGCACGCATGGGTTACAAGACACGAGGATTGGAAGTTTCCCAACCTGGAAATGTCTCTTTCAGAATAATGTTATTACACAAAAATTTCTAAGTGAAAAAGTGGACAAAATAAATAATTTCTCACAAATTTCCACAGGTTTGGTTTGCCACGTTGCCATGCAGCAACTCATTACCGCACATCCCGGGATAAACGGCAACAAAGCCAATCACGCAAAAGAAATAGGTCCATAACGGCAACAAAGGCATCACTTCAAATAAACATATAACGCAACACAAGCAATAAACAGTTTAACGCAAGCAAAGCATCAAGCGCAAATAAATACGCAAATAAAAAATAATCGTAGAAAGAGAGAGACAGATAAAGGATTAGACAAAAGGGCGCTTACGCTACGCAAAATGACAAAC